ACATGGACCACTTATAAATGCCATCTCCAACTCCTCAAAATATTCCATGAACGGGGTGTCTGGAAATTTTTACATATCACTTGGGAAGACAGGTGAACTAATATCAGTGTACTGGAAGAAGCAAAGATCACCAGTGCTGAAGCAATGATTCTTCAACATCAACTTTGATGGACTGGTCATGTTGTGCAGATGCCTGATGATCGTCTTCCAAAGCAACTACTCTATTCCGAACTTAAAAATGGAAAGCGTAATGCTGGTGGTTAACAAAAGAGGTTTAAAGACTGTTTCAAGGCAAATCTAAAAAAATGTAGTACAGTGGTACCTCTGGTTACATACTTTATTCGTCCCGGAGGTCCGTTCTTAACCTGAAGCACCACTTTAGCTAATGGGGCCTCCCTCTGCTGCCACGCCGCCACCGCACGATTTCTGTTTTCATCCTGAAGCAAAGTTCTTAACCCGAGGTATTATTTCTGGGTTAGCGGAGTCTGTAACCTGAAGCGTATGTAACCCAAGATACCACTGTATAAACACCGACAACTGGGAAACACTGGCCTGCAAGCACTCTAGTTGGAGAACAGCCTTTACCAAAGGTGTAATGGGCTTTGAAGACACTCGAACTCAGGACACAAGGGAGAAACATGCTAAGAGGAAGGCACACTTGGCAAATCCACACCATGATCAACTCCCGCCCGGAAACCAATGTCCCCACTGTGAAAGGACGTGTGGATCCAGAATTAGCCTCCACGGTCACCTAGGGACTCATTGTTATAACCGTGTTTATGGAAGACAATCTTACTCAGCTACGAGTCATCGCCAAAGAAGAAGAAGAAGACTGCAAGGCTCCTGCCCTCCTCAAATTCACAGCACTTTAACTCTTAAAAAAGGAAAAACACACCTTTTCTTTCCCTTTTTTTTCAAAATACCATCTCCACAGATGTAAGAACACATAAATCTAATTTAGCACATAAAAGTAACTAGTTGAATTTACATGGGTTTTGCCAAAATTGCAATGGTGGTGGTTTTTTTTTTGGGGGGGGAGTGTGGGATTCTCACTCAGTCTTTCATTGGATACTGGTCAGATTTAGGTCCAGAGATGGATGGAACATTGAACTTTTTGAAATATGTTTTCTCTTTTTGTTGTTGTCCATTTAAGTCTATAATCTTATGAATCTTAATTTCAGAAAAATTGCTATTAGATTTAGCAGGGCTGACTCTCAATTAAGTGTGCAGACTTTCTGCACATAGTACATACGAGCAAATAAATATCTGTTTATTATAAAACTTATAATGGGCAGGTATGTCAGTACAGTCATATCTCGGGTTGCGAACATGATCCGTGCGGGAGGCACGTTTGCAACCCGCAGAGCCACATCTGCGCATGCGCCTGACGCGATTTGGCACTTATGCACCTGTGCGAGTGCCGAAACCCAGAAGTAACCTGTTCCGGTACTTCCAGGTTCGGCACGGTCCGCAACCCAAAAACATGCAACCTGCAGTGTTCACAGCCCAAGGTATACTGTGGAGAGATATAAATCTATGTTCTTCTGTGCAGTTTAGAGAGGAAGATAATATTACATTTACACAGAGGTTGTATAGATTCAAAACAACTTTAAGCGCTAGGGAGAGGAACGAAGTATCACTTGCTGGCTTCACCATTATCTCTGTCTGCAGTGGAGATGGGCAGGGGACCGAAGAATACAGTATTGAGATAATTTATGGTAGGCTCTGAAAGGATTGGATGCCTTTGCCCTTAAAGTGTGGGTCAAGCTACAAGCCGCATTCATTCTGAAAGATCCAGCACTCTGATCCTGGTCCATATTAGGGACATGTGCTGAAAATATGGCTGGTATTTCCCCCATAAGGTTGTAGTAAAAAGCGCTTCCTGAGGCAAATAGCAGCTGGGGAGGGGTGGTTTTTTTCATTGGTCCTTGATTTGTATTGGAAGTGCAGAGCCACACCAGCTCAAGGTCTCCTGGCAGCTATTCCTTGAAAATGGAAGTAGCTGCATTGAGCACATTTTCATTTTCTTTCTTTCTTTTTTAAAGCACCATTAATGTTTATTTATTTTATTTATTTATTTATTTACGGCTATTAGCCCATAAAGTCCATTAATGTTGCATGTAGTCTGGTCCTAGCTTGCACTTTTTTGTTGCTGTTCCTCCTGTAAATGATGCTTGAAAAGGCAAATGTATTTGGTGATCATTGGTTAGCAGGCCTGCATTATACAATTTACTGCTTCCTCTGTTGTTGGCTTAGCTTCAAATTCTCATTGAGTTTCAGGTTTGGAATGTTTGTTCTTATTCAGGATTTCATTCATAATTTGAACGGGCAGGGGCTTTTGCAGCATAACAAGATTGCTGTCTTCGGTTCTTTACAAGTGTGAGTTTTATTAATTTTATTGAGTTCAACTCAGAAGTAGGTTTGTACAGAATTGGAGCAATCGGTTCTGGTGGTCAGTAATTATCAGTAATATTGCAAAGGCTAATGGTTCATTATTTCAAACATGCTCCTTTCCCTTGTGATGAGTTCGGTATGCTAAAGTAAATACATGAGACACAAATGACATGAGGGTAGACATATCCAGATGTTTGTATTGCGCTAAGTGCCCAGCTGGAGCAAGGATGCGGTTGAATGGGGGCTTGTCAGGAAGATTTGCAGCCAGGGACTGTGGAGCTTTTGCTCCAGATGGACACTGTGCAATCCAAACATCCAAATTTGTGCTATTTGTGTTTCATGTATTTACTTTTGCTTACTGCTGCCACAAGGGAAAGAAGCGTTTTGATCTCTGGGCTAAAATGGAAATGACACGCCACGAAGTCCTGGAGTTCCCATGAAGCAATATTTGCAGCCAGGACTTGTGGGACTTCATCAAGTGAAACCTCAGCAGAAAATGATGAGCCAGTGTGGTGTAGTGGTTCAGAGTGATAGACTCGTAATCTGGTGAACCGGGTTTGCGTCTCCGCTCCTCCACATGCAGCTGCTGGGTGACCTTGGGCTAGTCACACTTCTCTGAAGTCTCTCAGCCCCACTCACCTCAAAGAATGTTTGTTATGGGGGAGGAAGGGAAAGGAGAATGTTAGCCGCTTTGAGACTCCTGAAGGGGAGTGATAAAGTGGGATATCAAATCCAAACTCTTCTCTGCTGCCTACTGTCTCCTCCTCCCTATAAGGAAGAGTTTTTTGAGGAAAGGGGAAGGGGTTACAGGGAAGAGTGGAAGGTAGATTGACCTGCTCAAGTTTGTCACCAGGAAGAACAAAAAATGAGTGCTGTGCCAAAACCTGTCCTTTGATTCCTCATTCAAAATATATGCTATTTCTCAGGGCACTTTAGAATTTTAGTGGGGTTGAGCTTACCTGATCACTGGGTTTTTTAAAAAAACATTTCTTTGTCAAATCTTCCAGTGTTCTACAGTCCTCCCAACTGCCTGTGCTTCCTGATCTGGAAAAGACCCATGTGGGAAGTTACCTCATCATGATAGCTTTTAACTGAAGCATGGGAAACCAGGGGAGGGGCAGCCTACCAAATACTTGAGATTATGATATACTATTTTGTTTTCAAAGCCAGCCACACTTTAGCTTTTTTTTAATGCACTAATTACTTTCTGTCTTCTTTTATAAAAGTGTTTCTGCACCACCCTATCATAAAATATCAGGATGGTGTGCATCTGTAAAAATGCAAAACACCATTAGAATCAATACAGATAGCCATTACAGTGACTGGTTAACCAATTAAACATCTGTAAACTAAGGCCTGTCTACATAAAAAGATCTTCAAGAGATGCCTGTAGTCAAAAGGGAGGATGCCTGTCAAATCTCTTCTAAAAGAGTGTTCCACAGCTTGGGACCAGTGACACAGCATGCCAACATCTAGTGAAGACCCTGTCAGACCTGAGTTTTTAGTATTTTAAAAATAAAAAAGAGAACTACAATTACCCAAAAGCCCAGATGAGTATGTCATGAGTTTTTCAGGAAATGCTGACACTCAAGAAGGGTACAGAGTGCAGATTATGAAAAGGATTATTTGAAGAATGAAAGAAAGGACACCCCAGACATGCTTTGGGTACCTTGAACATAGGAGCCAACTCCTAGGTTCAAGGAGCTTTCAACATTTTGATCAAAACCAAATTGGGTAAATTTATTCAAAATGGCAACAGAATCTCTTTACTTAACTCCTCTTGCAAAAATAAAAATAATCATTGAATGGACTCAATAACCCAATTACAAAACTATTGGGTAACTTGTCATAAAATGGCATGAGAGTAAAGGAAAGTCCATAAAAACCTGCATCTGTTGAGACCCCAGAAATTCTCAATATGCATATTGGTACAAAAAGTGTTATTGTCATGGACAAAAAGTAACTTGCTGTGATTCATATCTATGATGTGATAGTAGTATGCACAGAGAACATGTCTCTGTATGTGACACACATATTTTCAGGCAAACTAATTAACTAAATTATTATTTTCAGAAATTATCTAGACTATTGACATTGTAAGGTGCATTATCTCTTAATGTTGGTTTCATATTGCTTCTTCATTTTCTACTGTTTTACAAATGAAATAAAAATAAGAAATGTGCTTATCTCAAAGAAAAAATAGGCAGTTTCTGAAGATGGATGTTTTTTATTCTTGCATTTCAGAAGCAGCTCTCATTGTAGTTATTCATATTGTGTAACTGATGGGCTACATTTTTGTAATATCTTTTATTTAGAGTTAATCTTAAACACTCAGAAACATAAGCTAGTGCAGGACACACCTTTATTCTGATAAAATGCAGCAAATTATTTATTACATTTCCATCCTGCTCTCTCCGCAATGAGCTAAGAACATCATACACAGGGCTGTCAGAATTCCCTCTAATACAAAAATGGGATGTTCTAATGGAGATCAGTTTGGCAATGAATTGAAGCTTCCCCTCCTCAAAAAACGTAGTTGTTTCTGCATACAGAAATATATATGTTTGCAAGACTTTTGTAAAAATAAAAAATAAAAATCCTGGGTAGCTCTGTTATCCTGGATAGCTCAGATGGTTAGAGCACGGTGCTGATAATGCTAAGGTTACAGGTTCAATCCCTGTATGGGACAACTGCATATTCCTGCATTGCAGGAGGTTGGACTAGATCAGGCATGGCCAAACGTGGCCCTCCAGATGTTTTGGGACTACAGCTCCCATCATCCCTGACGACTGGTCCTGTTAGCTAGGGATGATGGGAGTTGTAGTCCCAAAACATCTGGAGGGCTAAGTTTGGCCATGCCTGGACTAGATGATTCTCAGGGTACTTTCCAACTCTACAACTCTATGATTCTTTGCAATGACATAGACTGATAGGGACTTGCGGTCTGTGAGCTTCTAGGAGCTATTGGATACCGACAGCCATTAAAACATTGAAAGTTGAGGGTGTCAGTTGGAAATAAAGGGAAGGGGAAAGGAATTAGGCTGCTTGGAGGAGAGGATTAAGGTTGGATAGGTCATTAGGTTAACAGCCTCCTATCCCCATGCTATTTGGAAGGAATTCATGGGGGATGAAATGAAAAGGACATTTTTTCATTTGCCAACTCTCTAGAAGCCTATTCTCCCTTTCTTGCTCTCTAAAAATAAACATTCAGGTTCAGGGCTAGCCTTTAAAGCTGTATAGAACAGCAGTGGAAGCTTCCAGAAGGGGTGGGAAAGTAAAAGAAAGGAGGGGGCAGGGGGCTTTCTTTCTTCCAGTTTGTTGAAACCTTTTCCCAGTCTGAGAATCCCCAACAGTATGTGGTTGATCCATTTCCAGGTTCTATTGTGCCCCAATCAGTAATACTCCTGCCAGGGATTGGTGGAACCATGTAATATGTTCATGACAACTCTGGAAAGTAGGTTAAACTGGCAAGAGGTCACCTAGTGGGATTTACCCCTGAGCAGAGCTGAAACATGGCTCTCTCCAGTACATGTCTCACGCTATCTACAGCAACAGATGTGGTCTCCTCTCTTTCACCTAAGCACCATTTAAAAGTTGTGAAGAATCAAAGTTCCCAGATTTCAGTGGATGCAAGGAGGGAGATGGAAGGAACATGTTAAATCTACTTTATCTTCACAAATTATCTAAAATTATGTATAGCAGATGGGTTTTTAGCTATCTAGACAGTTGCCACTTCATATTTTCTGTTCCTTTAAATACATATCATGAGACTGAATGTGTGTTGTTTTCTAATTCTACCTATGCCTCTACTGAAATGCTTCCTCGGGTAACAATGGCATTACAACAAATGCCAGCCTTAATGAGTCCAGACTATTCCTTATCTCCCGATGTGATGGAATATGCTGGTGAATTCTATAGTAGTAATAATTTTATCTTTGTCAAGAGTTCTGAACTTCCTGCTAATGGCCTTTCTGAAACATCATAGATCTCTGAGATCCCATAATGACTTCGGAACATAATCAACACTGTCAGCTGGAGCCACTGCTCTTTTCAGTTTCAGTACAATATGCTATTTCATCCTGAAACACAGCTGATAAGAAACACACCAGCATCTGTTTTGCTCATATATGTTGTTTTTGCAAAAACTACATAATTGCTAAATGGCAGAAAGGGGAACCTGCATGATTTTACTAGCATAGCTAGCTTTGCAAATCCAATCCTCAGGCTCATTTTCCTAATGTTATCTTAAAAAATAAAAATAAAAATTTTTTTCAATGATTTGAGAAGCCCAGAGGCAGGCAAAATCTCAAAAATGCCTGCTTTGTTATTGTGATGCAGTTTGATCTCTGCTGAAAGAAGCAAATTTTGCAAAGACATTTTCAGCTATAAAGAATTGCTTAAACAGACACGTCTTGCTTGAGTTACTAAACTCATGTTGCGGGTGGAAGGAGAGAAATGTAGTCTCCTTTATAGGAGAGGTAGTCTAGTAGCAAATTGAAACTTTTTTTATTGTTTGAATCAGGAAATGTAGTAACAATTATCCCAAAATCCTTATGACTGTTTGCTGGCTTTTGATGCCAGCTACTGGCATCTGAAACCAGCTACTTGGTTTCAAGATATAATAGACTGGGCCTTTGCTCAGTGATAAAGCATCTGCTTTACTTTCAGAGGTCATAATCCTCACTGCACGCACATGCTCATATATTGAGCTTAGAAATCTGACTCCAGCTACAAAAGCTGAGGCCAGAGACCATCTTGGTTGTGGGTTCTGGAAGACCTGCTCCTGCTGGCCTTTTCCCACCTGACCTGGGAGGGTGGGGTACTGACTGACCCCATCTATAAAAGCTGAGGCTGCTGAACAGACTCTTGGCCTGGGGTGTTCTTTAGTGGGCAGTTGTTGTGGGGGGTGTTGTTGCTATTACAGCCATACTTCATGTTACGTTTGCTTCAAGTTGCGCGTTTTCAGGTTGCGTCCCACGGTGACCCGGAAGTACTGGAAAGGGTTACTTCCGGGTTTCGCCGCTTGCGCATGCGCACACAAAATGATGTCACGCGCATGTGCAGAAGTGGCAAATCGTGACACGCGGGTTGCATTCTTTTCAGGTTGCAAACGGGCCTCCAGAATGGATCCCATTCACAACCATAGATAGCACTATGTTGATATTATTTTTTATCATTATTTTGTGATTTATGTGGAAATTGTTCAGTTCTTTTGTGTACTTTTTGATGTCTTATTTATTTTAAATGACTATATTTGATTTTTTTTTTGTTTCCTATTTTAAGCCAATCCTTGAGCATGGATTTAACTATGGAAAGGTGACATACAAATAAAATGTTATGTTCTCACATACGTTTAAAAACAAAAGCCTATCAGTGAACTCTTAAGATTGAAGAAGGGAATCTCAACTTTGCTCATTTTTGGAACAATGGAACAAATGGGGATATTTCTTTAATACAGTGGTACCTTGGGTTAATACGCTTCAGGTTACAGATGCTTCAGGTTACAGACTCCACTAACCCAGAAATATTACCTTGGGTTAAGAACTTTGCTTCAGGATGAGAACAGAAATCATGCAGCGGTGGCGCAGTGGCAGCAGGAGGCCGCATTAGCTAAAGTGGTGCTTCAGGTTAAGAACAGTTTCAGGTTAAGAACGGACCTCCAGAACGAATTAAGTACTTAACCTGAGGTACCACTGTACCTAGTTTTTCCATAAGTAATAACTGCAGTGTACTATCACAATCGTGGGATATAGTCAACAACAGGACATAAGAAATTGATTCGACTTTATCACAATATGCTAGGATGGTTATTTCAACCCCTTGTTTTGTGTGAATCTGAACCCATTTTGATTTATTCAAACTTGATACCTAGCTTGCAGGTGTTTAGCATACCAATGTTTCTTCATGCCAGCTACCAGCAGATACACTGTAGCTGCTGCAGAAAGCCAATGTCGAGAAGTGGCTTTACAAGCACCTTGGATTGCCACTGATTAAGTTTATTAATCACAATATACTGAGGACTGTATTCACTTAATCACACACTATGCTGAAAATAGTGTTGGGAAATGTGCAGTGATTACTTGATGAGAATTCTTAAAACTCTCAGGGAAAACCATAATTAAGGCAATTAATACCTAGTGATTAGTACCCATTCTAACTCACAAACTTTGTGTACTGGAATAATCAGATAAAGAGTTTCACCATCTGGATGTACTTAACATAAATACATTATACTCTTGCAACAGAAAGGTTCTGCATCAGAACTGCTTTCTGTGGAAAAGTACAGGAAGCTCTTTAATAATAATAATAATAATAATAATAATAATAATATCTTTATTGTCATTGCCCCCTTCGGGGACAACGAAATTACTTGACTGCTCCATAAAAACACTAATTAATCAATACAGTATAATACAGCAAGGGAGATTAGATGACTTTCAAAGTCCGGGCTTCCCATTCAGGGCCGAGATCGCTCTGGAGAAGAAGCTGTTCTTAAGACGGCTCGTTCTTGTCTTCATCGTCCTGTATCTCCGTCCCGACGGCAAGAGCTCGAAGAGACAGTGACCAGGATGCGATGGATCTTTTACTATGTCCAGTGCCTTCCTATGGCACCTTGTGGCATAAATCTGCTCTAAGGTGGAGAGTGGGCAGCCAACAATGCTCTCTGCTGCCTTAACAACCCTGCACAACCCCATCCTGTCCTGGGTAGTACAGCTTCCGTACCACACACATAAGCCATAAATGAGCACGCTCTCAATGGCACAGTGAAACACATGAAATTTCTCTTTTTATTGGAAAAAAAACCCAAAATGTACCATTACCTACATAGCTCAAATAATCCTGCTTTACAAGGAATTATGAATCCAAACAGCACTCCATACCTTTAGACTTTTTTTGCCACCCTTGCTCAGGAAATGTCTCTCTCTACACAATCCTAAACTATGCCTCTGTGTTCAAGGAATGATCACAGTGGCCCTTTCCAATTCTGTCCTCCTACATGTTCAGAAGAACTAAATGTTCTCCCCATGAGCAAGCTTTTAAAATTATTTTTTTTAAGATGTACAGTGGTACCTCGGGTTACATACACTTCAGGTTACACACTCCGCTAACCTAGAAATAGTGCTTCAGGTTAAGAACTTTGCTTCAGGATAAGAACAGAAATAGGGCTCCAGCGGCGCGGCAGCAGCAGGAATCCCCATTAGCTAAAGTGGTGTTTCAGGTTAAGAACAGTTTCAGGTTAAGAAGGGAACTCCGGAACGAATTAAGTACTTAACCTGAGGTACCACTGTATGTGCTTATCAATGGAACTCTTCATTTTATTGTAAGCTGCTTGAGTATTCCACTTGAAATCTGGAATCCAAATCTAAACATCTGTCTGTCCGTCTGATCTCAAGTGGCTTCAACACAAAAATTATGTGCACAACTCACTCACTTCAGTAGCAATTGATGAGACAAATTAGTTAGTAGATAGTGTCCAATCTAACCTGATGCTACAGTACTACCTTGTGTAATTATCATCTGAACTTATCCCCAATACTTCTTACTATGAAGTTTATTATACTTTTAGATCAAATGATAGTGATGGGAAAAGGTAATTTGACAGCCCTTTAAAAATAATTAGAAATACTCATTCAAAATATCCCAGGAAGACAAATTGATTAAGTGGAGAGTCTCGCAGAAATGAAAACC